ATGTGCAGCTCCTTGTCCTCGTTATCCCCCTCTTCCTCCCTCCTTCAACATACTTCTCCTCCTCCCTTCTCCTCCTCCCTCACTTGTCATCATGCTACTCTCATTAGTTTGCGGGCTTTCTTTTGCATCCACGTGGCACTTTCTTCTCCTCCTCCTCCTTCTTCCCTCCTTCGTCATCGTTCTCGTACTGCCCCGCTTATCATGCCACCAGCCCCTCCCTCGCTTGTCATCATGCTACTCTCATTAGTTCGCGGGCTTTCTTTTGCATCCACGTGGCACTTTCTTCTCCTCCTCCCCCTTCTTCCCTCCTTCGTCATCGTTCTCCTACTGCCCCGCTTATCATACCACTTTCTCCTCCTCCTCCCCCTTCTTCCGTCCACTGTGCCTGAAAGGTTCTTTTCTCTTTCTTGTTTTCTTCTTTTGATGATAGTTCGAACTTAGAATATTCAATGGGAACACGTGAAACGATCTCTTATCTGAACATGTGAAACGATCTCTTATGCGAACACGTGAAATGATCTCTTATGCGAACACGTGAAACGATCTATTACTGCGTACCCTTCTTGGTCTTTTGGCTAAAAACAGATGGCGTAGTATCTGATCATCTGATTATCTGATCTGATCAGAGTTTAACATCTCATCCGTGGTCCACGGGGCTGCATTTTTAAAGCAATCTTTTTTTTTTTTTTTTTTTAAAGCAATCTCTTTTACTGGAAACGTTTTTCACCTTTTGCAGTCACAGATGCGGATCCCAGGGCTTGATTCCCAGACCTTACCTTACCTTAGCTTCCCTGTGTACAGTATCAAGTCGACCCTGTGTGTCTTGAACCCGTGACCTGTGTGTTAGTAGTTGAAAGTTGTTTGTCGTAGGTCTGAGTAGTTGTCAGGTCTCGAACCTTAGACCTGTCGAAGTAGGGGTCATACCTGCATAGGGGTCATAGTTGTTATAGTTCTGAAGGGTCAAGGTCGTAGCTGCCACGGTCCTGAAAGGTCAAGGTCGTAGCTGCTACAGTCCTGAAAGGCCAAGTCCGCAAACTTCCGGAAGGTCCGGAAGTGGCCTTTCAAGTTTCTTCTCACGTTATACACAGCAGACCAGAGGCAAGTGGGCAAGTGGTGAGTCCAACTTCGCTTAGTTAGCGGTACCCAGTCCCAGTCAGCAAGTACCATGAGGGACTGTGTGCACCATGGGCCCGGTGGAAAAGGGCACCAACGACCTACAGAAGTATAAATCAAGAGGCAGCGTCCAGCCATGCATTCATTCCTGCGTGAGCCATGCGGAAGCACTGCCCAGGCGTCTTGTGCGAGGTGGTCTGCAGAAGCCCGAGGTTGAAGTGGGCTGAAGGGAGATAGTTCGTCCATAGCCAATAGTAGTAGAGCGGCCATAGCCGCTGTAGTTTAGAGGCAGAGTTTAGTGTGTGTGTGTGCGTGTGTGTGTGTGTGTGTGTGTGTGTGTGTGTGTGTGTGTGTTCTGATACACAGTGTGTGTGTGTGTGCGTGGGATATCCAGGGAGATCCAGTGTGAAGTACGTGTGAACAGTTGGGGTGAACACTGAGTTGAGGAAGAGGAAGCGCTCAGGCACCATAGTCATTTTGAAGCGAGTTTGTATCTAACTGTGTTTTCGGTCTCCATATCTCTGAGCTTTGTGTGGGCGCACAGCGCCGGCGTGGTCTGCCATCTGTTTGCATGTATGCAAGTTGAAGAAGAAAGCAAGTTTGAATGCATACTCCATGCATAACGTGAAAGTTAAAACTAAGGGAAAACTAAACTGGGGCGCAGTCAAGGTTTTCAGTTTTAAACGCGTTTCAGTGGAGAGGTTTCACAGATTTTGTTCCAAAGCGAAGAAAATTGTGAGTGTATCCAACCCAGATTTAGGGTTGGGTGGGGATGTGTTGTATTCGAGGGATCCGTAGAGTGGATTTACAACTGAAAACGTGACTGCGCCGTACTTCAAAAGCTTGATTGATACTATGAACAGGACACACCTCCACAAAGTTAGGCAGAAAAATCACACAAGGAACAAAGAAAACAAAAGCCAAAAAGCACCGGCCGTTTCATGCTACACACACAAACACACCCAGATTAGTCACTGACAGTCCTGCAAAACAGCCTTTCATAACCACCCCTCTTTTGTAGAGTTGCATTCAGCAAATAGAAAACACACAGCATGGAGAGACAAGCTCAGGCAGATCAGAGAGAGAGAGAGAGAGAGAGAGAGAGAGAGAGAGAGAGAGAGAGAGAGAGAGAGAGAGAGGTGGGGGGGGGGGTTGCGAGCTGCCCGGTTCAGGAAATGGTAATTAGATTTTGTTGGAAGGATTATTATACTCAGCGTCCCTCTGCCCATTTGTTGCCCGCCCGTGCAGTCGGGTCCTGTCTGATGACGGCTTTGTCAGACAAGCAAACTGGTTGCGAGTGTATCACCTACCCACCGTAAGAAAAATGAAATGTCCCGCAGACGGACATATTCAGATAATGAAGTCCGGTCGTACTAACGAATGAATGCATGATCGAAGGATTGGATCCTCATGAATAGCTGATTTCTGCATGACCCATACCCTGAAGCTTTTGCGCCAAATGTGTAAGATACGGTTCCATGTGAGAGCAGCTCGAAAGATGAGCCACAAACTCCTGTAGCTGCTGGTTAAAAGCCTTTTCCAATTTCCTGAGGGAGAATTGCGCACACAGTCGCCGCCAACGAAAGACATGATGACAACGAAAACACAACCGTTACATCAGAAAAAAGACCAGAAACAAACAGTATATAAACTTGGCTACCAGCTGAGGCCGCCCGCGTTGCCTCAGAGTCGCCCGGGCCCGGGTGGCCCAGACGGGCCCGGCCAGATCCGGGCGAAGTCCTGGCCAAGGTAGGTCCCAGACAGCCCCAGTGTGAAAAGAAAAGAAAGAAAGAAAGAAAACAAAAAGAACCTGGGAAAAAGCTATGTCATGCAGAATTGCAAATCGAACAACTTTTGGCGGAGGAATACTCCAACATTCGTTATGAAATTTGAAATAAAGAAATAAAAACATAGTAAGTATGAATAACATTAAACATTTAAAATGTCTCTCACCCCGTTTAGCCCCTTTCAGTCCATTTGAAACTGCCCCTTATACCCTATAGACACCATACTTGCGGCACACCAGTGCACAGCGCGGGGCGGTGCAGTGCGCAGTGCGCTGTGCGCTGGAATTCCAGTGCGCGCACTGTGCGCTGTATGCTGTGCGCAGTGCGGTGCGCAGTGCACGCGCGCTGTGGAAGATGCGCCAGCTGCGCACAAAAATAAAATAATCTATATATCGTCACAAACAGAACTGCCCGGTAAACCGTAGGCAGAGAGAGAGAAGAGGACAACAAACGAGGGGCTGTAATCTATATATATATGTATATAGATATATGATAAAAAAATAAAAAAAAGTAAAAATAGTAACAATAATAAATAAAACATGCATTCGTGCCACAAAGAGAGAGAGAGAGAGAGAGACCAAAGGGTTCCCTTGTTGCCAATTTAGGGGCCCCTGCAGGTAAACTCGTATGACTCCCACAATGACCTTCACAACGCACTTCAGCACTTCGGCATTGTGGAGGGATTGGTTACGGTCGCTTCAGCAAGCAGGGTGGCCGCGTCACAATGAGAGAGGTGGGAGCAGACCACCAATATATTCTGTGGGGGCGAGTTCAGGTCTGTAGCTCGGGAGTTATGGGTCACCAATTCAGCTAGACCCTGTTTGTGTCTCCACGTGATTCTCAGGGCCTAGCTCCACCACTCGGTGGTACTCACCGAATGAATAACATCTGAATGAATCTTCTGCTAACATATGGAGCCATACACCGTCACCGAATGAATAACATCTGAATGAATCTTCTGCTAACATATGGAGCCATACACCGTCATATGGTATGTCTTTTGTGGATGTGGCGAGTAGTGGCCAGAGGCCCCTTGAGCCACTGTGCGTATTCAGAAGTAGACAAAAAGGAAAAAACGAGAGAGCTACAGGCATCTTCACCGCCACTGTACGTATTCAGAGGAAAACAAAAAAGGAAAAAACGAGAGAGCTACGGGCATCTTATTCCTAACCCATAACTGCCGACGTGCAGACCTGAACGCCAAACTTCAGCATATATGTTACGGACTTCGCCAGGGCTCGATCCCTGGTCTATCTTTTTGCTGTTTCGGCTGCATCCCATTTTCGGCCTGGCACCCTTTTTCCAAACCCCTCCTTTGGTACCGTAGGATTTTGGACAACTGGCGCCATGCTGCAATTCGGGCGCCACTTTCAAATACTGCATTTTTCCGTTCTGCCCTCGGGGCCTTTGCAGAAATGCCTCTGGTACCGTACGTGTCACCGGTACTTATACCGGCTCCCCGTACGGTACGGGGACCAGTCTCGTACCAGTTTTCTGCTGCTGTACTCGTACTCAGTGTGACTTGCTGTTTCGGCATTCGGAATCCAAGACTTCGACTTTGTGTCCTTGCCCCTGTGTCTGTGTCTGACCCTTAGTCATGTCGAGTGAGTGAGTGTGTGTGTGTGCTCTCCCTCTCTCCCTCTCTCTCTCCTCTCCATCGGCTCTCCCTGTCTCCCTCAGCCTCCCGCTCGTTACACTGGTATCGGAGCGGTTCGAACCCGCCCGACCCACCCTGCTTCGACGTCGTCACCTGGCCATCATCAACATCATCGTCGAGATCGTCGTTGCCGTGCCACGTCATCATCGTCACCACCGCGCAAACCACTCCCTCCTCCACAGCGCAAACCACTCCCTCCTCCACAGCGCAAACCACTCCCTCCTCCACAGCGCAAACCACTCCATCCTCCACAGCGCAAACCACTCCCTCCTCCACAGCCGCCTCCAGCAACACCCCCCTGCCGACCTCCTCCACTCCTACCACCTCTACCACCACATCCACCAACCCTTCAACCTCCACCACCGTTCCGTTCCCTCCACCTCCTCCCTCATCCGGCGCATCCAGCACACCCCCTCATTCCTCGCCCATCCACGTCAACCCTCTCCCAACCCATCATGACCACCTCCACCATCCCCACCATCCGTCCCACCTATTCCCAAGTCACCTCCGGGGTTTACCCCCGCAATGCCACAACTCCCCCCCAACTACCTCCTTGAGGACAACAACCAAATCGACCACACCTGCTACGACACCACCCCCGATAACCTCAGCTTCAACACCCTCGCGCAGATCGTTCACCGCGACGGGGAAATCCCCCGTTCCTTCCGATCTGGCGAAATCATGTCCTTCTCCGGCCTCCCCCACGAGGACGTTTTCCTCTTCCTAACCCAGCTTCAGAACTCTTTTCACCTCCACCACATGCCCCTTGCCCACTGGCTCCCCATTGCCACCTCCTGCCTCATCGGCAATGCACCCAAATGGTGGATGGCTGAAGCTAGCAACCGCCGAGCCTCCGGAGGTCCACGTCACACCTTCCTCCAATGGGCCAACCTCCTCACTGCCACCTTCCGCCCCCAGAAAACCATTGACGACTACCTTGAACAATTCTGCC